TTCTGATTTCCAGTATTCCATCAATCCATTCCGTAAGGAGTGAGGGGATACCTATGCCTACGAGAGCAGAATGGATGGCCTCTAGCTTCACATTGTTGAAAGCTCCTTCGATATCGAGGAATGCTGCCAACGTGTAGTCAGAGGACTCCATGTTCTTCTCGATGCATCCAACGAAGTGGCGTATACGTATTGACAACAATCATACACACTATAGTACAGGGACGTAAGCAGGGGGGGGCCGCTTGTTCCGCTAAAAATAATCCTGATGTATATGAACGTGTTGTCGAAGATCCGAATAGCAAAATGTTCTTAAAAATGTTGCACATTTCTCACTTGTTGGTTAAGTTAATATTCAAAATTGTCGTAATTGAAAACGTACCATTAAATCCAGAAAAAGTCACTGTTTGGTGCGAGCTCTATGGTCCGTAGATGTGATTGAACCTTGCTTCGTCGAAAACGGCGATAGAATGACTGTTACCGAAGTGTTATGGTCATATGAAAACCGAATTTGTTGCCTGATATTGAAGAATACTACTTGGAGAATATGTGGTTTTAATGGAGAAGCTGGTATAAAGGTGGCGTATACATTTTGGCAACTATAATACGCACCATAGCAGTATGCATTATATAAAACCTCCGTTCAACTGGGGTTAGTTTTCACATAAATACCTTGAGATATTCGAAAGGCGTGGGTTTTTAAGAGGATATTTTAAATGGTCCATGAAATGCGAGGATTTTTCAAAAAGAATATTTTTAATGGTCCTAGAAAGTCGTGAATTTTTAAAAGAATATTTTTAATGGTCAAAGAAATGCGAGGATTTTCAAAGGTCCATGAAAGGCGTGGATTTTTAAAAGAGTATTTTTATAAGTCCAAAAACGGCGTGGGTTGTTAAAAGAATATTATTAAAGGTCGAAGACAGGCGTGGATTTTTAAAGAATATTTTTAAAGGTCTAAAACAGGCGTGGGTTTTTAAAAGAAAATTTTTTAATCATCCCACCAAGGCGTAAATTTTTAAAAGAATATTTTTAAAGGTCCAAGACAGGCGTGGATTTTTAAAGAATGTTTTTAAAGGTCCAAGAAAGGCATGGATTTTTAAAAGAAAATTTTTTAATCATCCCACCAAGGCGTGAATTTTTTAAAGAAAATTTTGTAAGTGATTATTTATACTCTTTCGAGTCGAGCTTAAGCTCGAAACGCGTCGCCACATAGCCCAATATGCCTGATGAGCCGCATAACCAACGGCGAAACGTGTCGCTTAATGGTGGGTACGTAGGTTCTTCTCCTGGCTTTCCTTTTCATTGCAAAACTTAGATTATTAAGCTCGACTCGAAAGAGTATAAATAATTCATTTCAAAATTACTTTCAAATGATCACTGCCCTTACAAGGCAAAATTAAATATATATATGTATATAGGGCAAGGACTTTGTAAAAGAATATTTTTTTTAGAGATCCCACCAAGGGTTGGATTTTTTAAAGAATATTTTTTTAGAGATCCCACCAAGGGTTGGATTTGTTTAAAGAATATTTTTTTAGAGATCCCACCAAAGGTTGGATTTTTTAAAGAAGAATCCAAAAAAGGTGGATTCCTGTTACACCAACTATTTACATTTATTACAAACCTAGGACTTCACCTAACACAAAATCTATGCTAGTGTTTATTTTACTGTGGTGCTCCGATGCATATAACTGTTCTCATAACGTATACGTCATGGCTTCAATGCTGGGATTTATTTTCATAGTCGTTATTATAAAAAAGCCGACCGACGAGAGCAACAAAATAAGCAGCTTTACGATGGCGAGGAAAATGAGAAAAGTGCAGCTCATTAAAGTACAAGAACAAAAAATAACGAAACCAGTGAGCGGAGCAATATAGTCGAACGGGGCCGACCATAACATAACCTACAAAACTACCACGGAGTTATAACCTTCTGCGGATGTTAATCCGAGCCTGGGCAATATTTCGTGATATTTGCACCCTCTTGTCCGATTAGAGGTCAATAGCACCTCTTCCTTACACTGACATATTTTCCGAATAATACTAATACTCAGTACAGCCCTTCTAATTACATGTCCCGATTGTGGGCTATAAATCGACTTGAAAAGTAAGTTTTCGAATACAAATGTTGTAATTTTTCTCACAAAAGTCAGGGCCCATTTGGCCCACTAAATATTGACCGACCTTTATCCAAGTAAAATATCACGATGTTCGGGCAATAATTGCGGCCTCTGGAGCGACCAGAAAGACTGACAAAAATTTATTATTTGGTCCATTTCATCCTATAAATATTAACCGATTTTTACCAAAAACAATTGGGGTCTTCATTAACCAGAACCCATCCTACATCCAAAATTTCGTGAAGATTTGTCCATAACTGTGGCCTGTATCGTGTTTACAAATTATAATGGGCAGACGGACGGACGGACACACATGTATAGATCGACTCAGCTAGTCGAGATATTATGATCGGTATACTTGAAGTTGGGTCTAGGACCAATATTATAATATACCCTGACAACAGAATATTTTTTAGAGATCCCAAAAAGGCATGGACTTTTTAAAAGAATATTTTTTAGATATCCCACCAAGGATTGGATTTTTATACCCTTCACCACACTGTGGTACAGGGTATTATGTGTTTGTGCATATGTTTGTAATAGGCAAAAGGAATCGAGATAGACCCATGGTTCCTTTTGAGAATAAGCATAGAATCACTTTCTGAGTCGATTTATGCATATCTGATGATGTTAAATTGTAAACAAAGTACAGGTCGCATTTATAATCCGATTTGGCTGAAATTTGGTACAGCTCATTTATTTGGCCCAAGGACGAACCCTATTGAAATTGGAAAATCGGTTCAGATTTTTGTCCGATTTACGGACTTTAGTCCCTGCAAATCATTCGATTTGTACGAAATTTTGCATAGCGTACTGAATTAAGTCTAGAATGATATGTGCTTAGTTTCGTGAAAATCGGTTCAGATTTAGATATAGCTCCCATATATAGTTTCGCCCGATTTTTAGTAAATGGTACCTGAAAATCTTTCAGTACGGCATAGCGTACTGAATTAAGTCTAGAATGATGTGTGTTAAGTTTCGTGAAAATCGGTTCAGATTTTGATATAGCTCCCATATATAGTTTCGCCCGATTTTTGGTAAATGGTACACCAAAGTACCTGAAAATCTTTCGATTTGCACGAATTTTGGCATAGCGTAATGAATTAAGTCCAGAAATACGTGTGCTAAGTTTTGTGAAAATCGGTTCAGATTTAGATATAGCTCCCATATATAGTTTCGCCCGAGTTTACGTAAATGGCGCACTAAAGTCCCTGAAAATCTTTCGATTTACACGAATTTTGGCATTGCGAACTGAATTAAGTCCAGAAAGACGTGTGCTAAGTTTTGTGAAAATCGGTTCTGATTTAGATATAGCTCCCATATATAGTTTCGCCCGATTTTTGGTAAATAGTGCACCAAAGTCCCTCAAAATCTTTCGATTTGCACGAATTTTGGCATAGCGTACTGAATTTAGTCTAGAATGTTGTGTGCTAAGTTTCGTGAAAATCGGTCCAGATTTAGATATAGCTCCCATATATAGCTTCGCCCGATTTTTGGTAAATGATGCACCGAAGTCCCTCAAAATCTTTCGATTTGCACGAATTTTGGCATAGCGTACTGAATTTAGTCTAGAATGATGTGTGCTAAGGTTTGTGAAAATTGGTTCGGATTTAGATATAGCTCCATATATAGTTTCGCCCAAGTGCACCAAAGTCCGCATATATCTTTCGATTTTGGGATAAGGTGCTGAATTAAATCTAGAATGATGTGTGCAAAGTTTCGTGAAAATCGGTACAGATTTACATACACCTCTATACATATTCCCGTACGATTTTAAGTAAATGGTGCACTAAAGATCCATAGCTAGGCCGATTGACACAACCTACTGAAGTTAATATAAATTAATCTCTGATAAGTTTCCTTGAAATCGGTTCAGATATAGATACATATGCTGAATATACCCAAAGTGGTGAAGAGTATTTTTTTTTCACAGATATCAACAAGGTTTGGATTTTTTAAAGAATATTTTTTTGGAGATCCCAACGAGGCGTAGATTTCTGTCACACCCATATTTGCATTTATTACAAACCTTGGACTTTACCTAACACAAAAACTATGCTTGTGTTTAGTTTATTTTACTACAGTGCTCTGGTGCGTATAAATATTGTCATATCGTATACGCCACGGTGTCAATGCTTGGATTTATTTTCATAGTCGTTATTATAACAAAGCCAACGACAGAGTCCCACCAGATTGGATTTTTTAAAGTTTTTTTCACAGATATTTTTTTTTAAAGAATATTTTTGGAGATCAACAAAATAAGTTGCTTTACGATGGCGAGAAAAATGAGAAAAGTGCAGCTCATTAAAGTACAAGAAAAAAAAAACAAAACCAGTGATCGGAGCAGTATTGTCGGACGGTGCAGACCATACCATACCCTACACAACTGCCACGGAGTTCTAACATTCTGCGGATGTTTACTTCGAGCCGGGGCAATATTTCGTGATATTTGTACCCTCTTGCCCGACTAGAGGTCAACAGCACCTCTTCGACTCAGCTAGTCGAGATATGACGATCGGTATGCTTAAAGGTCTAGGACCAATATTACGCGGCGTTACAAAATCTTGGAGATGCACAAAGCTAAAATATCCTGACAACATAGTTGTGTAGGGTATAAATACAACTAACCCAATAAAAAATCTAAGTCAAGTGCCTCAATGGACCTCTGTGTAAGTGGGGGTATTATACAGAAATTTACCACCTCGTTATAAAAAAAAAACGAATAAAAACTACAACGAAAATGCATAAAATAAATAAACACGGAAAGGAAAGAGGAGGAGGAGAGAGGACCTGGTGTAAGTCTAAAGGTTAGGGTAGATTTTAAATTGGTATAGTACACAGTAGATAGAAATATATATATACGAGACAACACAATTCAATTACCTTGAAAAGCAGCTTCCATGGTAATTTCCGCTTCGGCACTTTTGGCCGTTGCCAAAATAGTCACCAAAATAAAACCATGCATCAGCATGTTATTATCCTTTCGACTACGTTTCGATGCTGATGATGTCCCCGCCATTCTCCAATGATGTTTTGTCAATGCTTGACGATGCCGACGATAATGATGACAAGTTGTGCAGAGAGTGCGAGGGCTGGGAGCTTCCCAATAAGAGAAGTGGAAACTGCTTTTTGAGTAGAGTGTTAATGACAGCCGTCACAATAATGATGTTAATGCCACCACCCGTTTATAATATTTCCAGAGGCTGTGTTTATGTGTATGCAGACCCTGTGTCTACTGGTCGTTTTGTTCCTTAGTTGTGTGTGTGTGTGTGTGTGTGTGTGTGATAGAGAGATGCTTTGCTTTTGAATAAGGCAGAGTGTTGTTGTTATTGTTGGAGGGCACTGTTATGATCTTGTTCTTGTTGTTGTTGCTTGTAGTCCGAATAAAAATTGTGATGGCGCCTATGGTTCGTTCGTTGGCAAAAAAACAAAATTGTGCTTGTTATAGGAATTGAATATGGAATGGATGAAACGACAATGTCCTATACAATGTGGTTGCTTGGTTGGTTGTTGTTGTTGTTGATATGTTGGCTTGTTTGCTTGCAACAGGCACTGCGAAGAGCTGTTACGATGATTGATGTAGTCGTATCGTGTGATGGCTCTTAGTTGTCGTTCTACTACTCTCCTTTTTTTACAATTGCATTCGTTAGGCTTGTTATGTTGTAGTAGTAGTAGTAGTGGTGGTGGTAGTGAGTAAGTGGAGATATATGGGTTTTGTTGTTGCTTTTGATATGGTCTGGTATTATGTTGCCTCGTTGTTGGTGTTGGGTGTGCGTCTGAGCTTGGTTGGGCGTATGAATGAATTGCAGGTTGCTGTATGACAGATAGACAGTCAGTCAGTCTGCCTGGCTGATTGTTGAAGTGCCTTCACTTAGAATTGTTTTTTTTCACTCTCTGTGTTTCACTCTCTTCTCCTTTTTTTTTAATGGGAATTTGGATTTTTGTCGTTGGTGTTGGTTGACTATTGCAGGCTCTGTGTGTTCGTTGCTGTACGATAATATGGTTTGATGCTGTTGTTGTGGTTGTTTTTTGCTGCTGATGTTTCTGATGCCAAACGAAACGTTGTGATAATTGCTGATAACGTTGATTTAGTTATGTCTGTGTGTCGCTGTGTTAGTAGCGTTATTGGAGATATGTATGGCAGGCGGGCAGGCAGGCAGTGGAACTTTTGTTTTTATGCTGCTGTCGTTGCTGCTGACACGTATCTGTGACTAGGTTCCGGATGTGATGATGTATTATATGTATGTGTATATGGGTGATGTTCCAATGATTACAAAAAGAGGACCAGCATCAGCAAAGTAGGCATTAAAGCTGTTGAGATTTTTCTGTGTCAATTGTGGGAAATATCTGAGTGATTTTTTTCTCGTTTTTTTTTCACTTCTGGTCTTCCTTTAGCAATTACATGTGTCTGGCAAAGACAACAAAAAGTTGATGTTGTTGTTTTTTCACAATTTTTCAATTATTGTTGTTGTTGGTGGGCCACTCTCCCCTCCACAAAATTTTAGTTGCGGATAAGTTTCGCTGGTCCCTCCGACAAACTCTCTCCGCCAAGGTCTTGGTTGAACGAAGCTGCTGTTTTTCTTGTTATTATTGCCAGTTGTTGTTGTTTTTGTTCGTTTGTTTGTTTATATCCTTCGAGCTCAACAAATAAAATAAGTTGAAACGAAACAACAACAAAAAAATACAAACTTTTTTCCCTTTAATCCACAAAAGACATGCCTCAAAGGCCAAAAGGAAATCTGTAAAGACAAGAACAACAAAAAGTATAGAGAAAGGAAAAAATTAGCGAACATAAAAATGCTGGAAGAGATACAAAAACACACACATACAAATAAAGTAGCATAATAGCATTGTTATAAAAGTTGTTTTTGTTTTCTCTAAAAAAATTTTTTTTACACCATACAACAACAATAAATATTTTACAACAAGGGTCACAATTCAAGATTTAAAATTATTTTTTTTTTTCGCACATTCTATTTAAGCTATGAACAAAAAAAATTCTCTCAGACACTCTTGGCTACAAAAAAAAGAAAAGAAAAAAAAAAACAAAAAACGGATATTTTCCTAGCTTTTCAGGTTTTTCAGTATTTCTCATATTTTCCTATGTTTTTTATTTCATTATTGTTATTCTTATTATTTTGTTTTTTTTACACTTCGTTTACCGCCTGCCGCCTTCAATTCAATTAAATTACAAAAGCAAAAACCCTTTAAATTGCCCAGAAAATAGATGAAGGTCAAGTTGGACAGTTTCTTTGTTTTCAAGACCTAAGACAACGCCTCATTAAGACCTTTCTCAAAGTGAAAGGGATTTTAAAAATAATTGGATGGCTGAAAATATTTCTGATGCGTTAGATAATTAATTGGAGGTTACATAGAGGAAAAATGGTCGCAGATTCGAATTTTTTTACCCAACTGAGGAAAGGTTGGAAAATGGATGACAGATCATGATGAGTATGACATGAATTGGCGGAATTTCGTAAAATTAAATTTTAAAGATATGACAGGGCTTGGTGATAAGACTTTTTAAAAGAGGACAATAATGTAGAAATCAACCACAAAGCAATATAAAAGTCTCGGTCGATTTCTGGGGCATTTTCGTGCAACAAGATATTAAGGTGTGAAACATATTTTTTTGGGCAGGAATACCTTTGGCAATGCTCTTGATAATCCAGAAGAGGAAAATCGCCATGTACCATTTTTTAGAGTTATGATGTGTTTGAAGCTATCGGACGTAGTTTTTGAGTTTATTTTTCTTCATTCAAATCGGAATATTTTGTCCACTTAACTTGACTCTTTGCAAGTCAATTTTGTCCTTATTTCCTTGATCCGCAACCTAAAGGCGGGAATTTTTTTGACACAGAAGTGACAAATAAAATTTTGGATTGGGTTCCAACACACAATAATTCAATATTCGAATATTTTCATAGCCCATTTACCCGATCTTTTCTCAGAAAACTTTATATCTATGGACATAAAATAATTTTAATATAAATTGAAGAGAAAAAATCCGAGTTTAAAAGTTTTTCCGACCCGCATCCAATATTTTTTTTTCATATGGCAATAATGTTCGCTAGCATCGTAAATAACTTTTGCTAGCTTTTTCAGTTGTCGGCAAAAACTGAAAAATTGTTCGCAGTTTTCGCAGTGCCATTGTAAACTTTTAATTTATTTGTTGTTGTAAGGGCGCAGAAAGAATTCAATGATTGTTTTCTTTCGTTAAACATTTTTTTTGCATCCCTATTCATGGGATACCAATCCTGATTTCAAAAATGTTAACCTTAGATTTAAAACCCCAATTGTTGTACCGATTTTAATCCACCGAATTATGTTATATGCATATAATTTATTATGGACTTATCTCAAATTTTGGAACTACTAATTTTCTGTTCATTTCTTTAAAAATCCACGCCTTAAAAAAAATATTCTTTAAAAATCTACGCCTAATGAAAACCTTAAAAAAAATTCTTGTAATAATCTACGCTTAATGGAGACGGTGAAAAATTGTTCTATTATAATTCCACCCCTAATTGCGACCTTGAAATAATATTCATGGGTAGGTTCTCGGCCCGGGTAATATTTTTATACCCTTCACCACACTGTGGTACAGGATATTATGTCTTTGTGCATGTGTTTGTAACAGGCAAAAGGAAACGAGATAGACACATGGTTCCTTTTGAGAATATGCATAGAATTACTTTCTAAGTCGATTTATACATGTCCGTCTGTCCGTCCGCCCGTCCTACCGTCTGTCCATGTTAAATTGTAAATGAAGTACAGGTCGCATTTATGATCCGAATTGGACGAAAATTGGCATAGGTCACTTATTTGGCCCAAGGACGAACCATATTGAAATTGGAAAAAATCGGTTCAGATTTAGATATAACTCCAATATATATTTTCGTCCGATTTAATGTAAATGGTGCACCAAAGTCCCTATATATATTTTGATTTGCACGAAATTTTGCACAGCCTTGTGATTTAGGTGTATAATGATGTGTGTTAAGTTTCCCGAAAATTGATTCAGATTTAGATATATCTCCTATATATATCTTCGTCCGATTTAAGGTAAATGGTGTACCAAAGTCCCTATATAATTTTCGATTTGCACGAAATTTGGCACAGCGTAATGAATAAGGTCTAGAATGATGTGTGTTAAGTTTCATGAAAATCGGTTCAGATTTAGATATAGCTCCCATATATATCTTCGTCCGATTTAAGGTAAATGGTGTACCAAAGTCCCTATATATCTTTCGATATGCACGAAATTTGGAATAGCATACTGAATTATGTCTAGAATGATGTGTGCAAAGCTTCGTAAAAATCGGGTCAGATTTAGATATAGCTCCCATATATAGTTTCGCCCGATTTTATGTAAATAGTCTACTAAAGTCCCTGGAAATTTTTGATTTGCTCGAATTTTGGCATAGCGTACTGAGATAAGACTAGGATGATGTGTGCAAAATTTCCTGAAAATCGGTCCAGATTTAGATATAGCCCCCATATATATTTTCATCCGATTTGAGGTAATTGGTGCACCAAAGATCCTATATATCTTTCGATTTGCACGAAATTTTTCATAGCGTACTGAATTGCGTTTGTAATAATGTGTGCTAAGTTTCAGCATAGGACCTACAAGGGAGCAAAAATTAGGCTTAAACTCTATATGTATTTACAAGCATTGACCTTTATCAAGAACCTGGAATGCCAAATTTCCCAGTAAGAAATACTGTTTAAACTCCCCAAAGAGGCTATATCAAAAAATGAACATAATTTCAAAACTTCGAACAAAACAAAGTGGGACCACTTTTATATAGAAGATTATCCAAAATACCAAAAATAGTGAGCGACTTCTTCATTGGGGCTATGCCAAAACATGGACCTATATTCACCTTTTTCTACATAGAAATATGTCCGCTTATAAAAACCCTGAGTACGAAATTATGTCTCCGTTGTTGGGCAAATGTGACTAGAAGTGTCAAAATACCTAAAAT